CTTAAACATCAGGACCACACACTGTGATTAAAGGGGACAACACTGGCCGGGTGGTGGTGGCACACACCCAGCACACACCCAGCACTCGGGAGGAAGAGGCAAGCAGATCTCTGTGAGTTCAAGACGGAACTGGTCTACAGAGCTAGTTCCAGGACAGCCAGGGCTACACAGAGAAAAACCCTGTCTGGAAAAATCAAAAAGCAAAGGGACGACACTCCGAAGCACCATCAAGCCTTTAAGTGTATTGCCAAGCCCTACAAACCCTCTCAAGTTAATTAGAGCAATGCAAAACCATCCCCGTTATACAGAGGAGAAACCTGAGGCTCAAAGAAAGACACTGCACAAATCAGAAAGTTAAGACTGCAGAGAGGGGACCTGTCAGGAGCTTAATTACAAACCTAGCTTCATGCCTTCCGCTGACACGTGTGACTTATCTCTGAGCTCACCATTCATCCCCTACGCCAAGTTCAGAAACATGAGCATGCTCTGTTTTACTCTCTTCAAAACGGAGAGAAAAAAGCATTCACTAAATAAAGGCACACCCTACTGGAAAAACCTACCACAGGAGAGACTCAGAGTGTGTGGGGGGGGGCAGAACTTTTGTTGTTGTTGTTCATTTTTAAAATTAATTTTTTTTTTACATTCTAATCCCATTTCCCCCTCTTTCCTTCCCTCCCACTTCTCCTCTCCTCCCATCTGCTCCTCGGAGAGGGTGAGGCCTCCCCTAGGAAGTCTACTAAGTCTGTCCCATCATCTCATTGAGGCAGGACCAAGGCCCCTCTCCACCCCACACCCCTGTGTCCAGGCTGGCAAGGCATCTCTCCATATAGAATGGACTCCACTAAGTCATTTATTGCATTAGAGTCAGATCTTGGACCCACTGCCAGTGGCCTCATATATTGTCCCAGTCACACCATTGTCACCTGTATTAAGGGAGTCTAGTTTGGTCTTATGCAGGTTCCCCATTTGTCAGACCTGAGTCAGTGACCTCTCACTAGCTCGGGTCAGCTGGTCCTGTGGGTTTCCCCATCGTGGTCTTGACCCCTTTGCTCATATTATCCCTCCTCCCTCACTTCAGTTGTACTACAGGAGGTAGGTACAACGGATAGTTGTGGATTTCTGCATCCACTGCAGAACTTTTTAATGTGACAATCTCAAGACACTATTTTAGGATTGTTGGAGGACTTGGAGTTTTTCTTCTTCCTCTATTTTCCAAACTGGCAGATGAAGTCTGATGAGAGCAGCAATTCCCGAACACATACATCCTGCCTAGCTCTTTTAGTTAGCGCGCTTGGGTTTGGGCTGTGTCTCTTTCAGTGAGGTAGGTACCAATTAATTCTTGTGCCGTGACACTTTTCCTCCCTTGTTCTTAGTGAGTATTTCCACGTGTAAATAAATTTAACTTCCGTCCAATTACTTAAGTGGTGTGTTAGGCACCTGTACATTCTCCAGAGACCCAAAGTGCTTTCAGCCTTAAATCAGGTGACAGATCTCAAACAACACACCAGCAACTGCCAGCTGCACCGCTCCAGACCCTCAATAAAGCAGGGAATGGTGAGGCCTCAGCCCTTAATCCCAGCACTCTGGAGGCAGAGGCAGGTGAGTCTATGAGTTCGAGGCCATCCCGGTCTACAGAGTGAGTTCCAGGACAGCCGGGACTACACAGAGAAACACTGTGTGTGTGGCGGTAGTGGTGGTGTGTGGAGGTGGGGGGCAGACACCTCAAATTATGAAAAAGCTCAAGGAACAAAGTGACAGCTGTATTTACCAGACCCCCGTGCCAACAGGAGAGTGTTTAAAATGTAAAGGGCTTTCTGTGGCCCCTCACCCAGGCCGTTTGGGCCTTCTAGATAGACATGGCACCATCCTAGAGCCCCAGCCTCCCAAGTGATAAACTAAGTCACCAACCCACCTTGCCCCTCCCACACACACTTCAGATGACTTCATTGTTTCATCTATCGAAGTGATCGTGGGCTCGGGTCCCTGTCAATACCTATACATTTTGTATCCGCAAGGCTGCAAATGGTTTCCAATAAGAGTCTTACGCCTATTGATCACAAGGAGGCCACCACACCCTGTTCTCACACCTCCTCCTGTTCTCCTGCTAGGAGGCAGGAGGCTCAGGATGTTTTCCTAGGGAGTGTGCCAGCCAGCCACTGGCCGTCCCTCAGCGCAAAAGCTAAAGCCAATCTGCCAAGGCAGCAACAGCAATCCCAACCAATTTCTTTGAGTGGATTTGATTGCGTTCTGCTCATAATTCTTAGGCTGAGACATCGTTTTATACACTCAAAATGCAGGACCAACTGGGTGTGATGGCACATACCTTTGGAGCAGGGCAGGACCATGTAATTCACGAGAAATATACTGCAGAGGGGCTGGAGAGATGCCTCAGCTATCCCTGCAAAGGACCCAGGTTCAGTTCCCAGAACCCACCACCTGTAACTCCAGTTCCAGGGGCTCCAACGCCCTCTGCAGGCACCAGGAATCCACGTGGTACATGAATATATGTGTAGGCAAATCACTCATGAACATAATAAAGGTAAATATTTTAAAATAAGAAATGTATTTTTGCTGGGTGTTGGTGGTGCATGCCTTTAATCCCAGCACTCGGGAGGCAAAGGTAGGTGGATCTCTGAGTTTGAGGCCAGCCTGCTCCATGAAGGGAGTTCCAAGACAGCAAGAGCAACATAAAGAAATACTCTCAAAAAAACAAACCAAAAACAACCGTGTGTGTGTGTGTGTGTGTGTGTGTGTGTGTGTACACTTATGTGTACTTATGTGTGCATGTACTAGGCAGTGGGCAGAAGCAAAGGATGCACCCCCCCCACACACCCCGCCCAAGGAACATCCAGAAAAGGCAAGAACAAAGCATAAGGCAGTCAGTCTTATGTCTGCTTTGGAAAGAAGAAAGCAATCACATTTATATCCCATAACTCGATTCTACAGAGAGACGAGGCAGGCCTGGCCCAAAATCCAGTCAAGACTGAGAGCAACGGGGACCTAGGAGCCGAAATTTTAAAAGAACCAGCACTAAGAGGCTGGAGCTGGGATATAGAACAGGAAGGACAAAGCAGAGAACGAGTAGGCTACACTGGCTCACTCTTGGGATTTCTGCAAGCTAAGGGCTAATTTCAGCTCTACAATGAATCCAAGGCATCCACAAGAATAAAAGGACCCTATCCCAAAACACACAAATACACACACACCCATGTTCTTCTGGTGCTGCACAGGGGAACTTGTGTTCAAACATGCTGCTCCCACAGTGTCTGGGAGCCCTAACTTCCTTTCCCAAGAACTTGTATAATAATACACTTCAAAGACTACAACCATTGTGTATTTACTCTTTAACATATAAAGAACGCTTCCTGTTCTGTAGCTGTTTGCTAAAGATCCAAGAGAAACCCGTAAGCAGAATTCCCTTGGTCGCTGAAAACGGCAACCATAACCAATTCTAAGAGTTCTCATCCCATTTGGAATTGCTGTTGTTGTATCGTGCTGCAGTTAAAATGTCCTAACTGGCAATACAATTAATACAACGGAACTCTGCCAGACTCAGTGGGCAAAGTGCTCACCCCACAAGAGCACGACGGACCAGAGTTCAGCCAGCTCCCCAGCACCTGTAGAACAAGCATGTCCTGCCACCTGGAAGATCTTTCCTTGTTCAGTATCCGCTGAAAGAAATAAAACTAAGGAAGCAATAAGGTTTGTTTTGGCAGGACTGGCATGCGATGGTTAACACTGTGATCTCGACAGGATCTAGAACCACCTAGAAGACAAATACACCTTCGATTATCTACATCACGGTAGCCTGTGGGGGAGCCTGCCAGGAATTATCCTGATGCTGGCCACCTTAACTTGCACCACAAACAATGATCTGAGCCCTTGAAATTCAAGCCCAAACCAACTTTTCCTTCCTTCTTGTTTTTGGTCTGGGTATTTCCTTTACCATAGTCAAGGAAAAGTACCACATGGGCAATGAACCTATGGCTTTGCATATGCTGGGCACCCACTCTGCCACATTCTCCATTACCAGATACTAATAGTCAAAAAAAAAAAATTTTTAATGAATGAATCAATTTACATAAATGTGACCAGAGACTCAGAAATATAATCTCACATCTCCCCTAAGATCAAAGGCTTAGAATTTGCTTATTAATTGTTCACGGCAACTTTATAGACTAACTACCATGAGT